GGCCAGTGCGTTGGTCAGGGGGATGACGTGTCACATTGCCATTTTTGTCCATATCACTTTCTATTGCCAATGTTTTGATATGATGCTGTGGTAGCATCAATTTGACTCCTTCCTTGTGGTATTGTTGATACAATGTGTATTATCAATGTGTAGTAAATTCTGAGATAGCCAAGTAATCACGTGAGTTCTAACAAATGGTGACAAGAAAGAATAGTTTAGCTAACTTTGTATGAGGTCAATGTTGAGTTCTATTGGGGGCTGATGTCGGTGATGGGATCCACCCAACTTGGTTTGAACCTTTGTGTGTAAGAAGGCTCTGGGAAAGATCCAAGAATGATTGAGGGGGCATCGGATGCCCGACTTGAACCTTTGTGTGTAAGAAGGCTCTTGGAAAGGATCCAAGAATGATTGAGGGGACATCGGATGCCCGACTTGGAGACGATGTTGGTGATAGGATCCGCTTAAGAGTCTCTGAGAACGATTGAGGGGGCATTGGATGCCCGACTTGGAGACGATGTTGGTGATAGAATCCGCTTAAGAGTCTACATGTGTAAGAAGACTTCGAGAACGATCGAGGGGGTCTCGGATGATCAATTTAGTATCAACATACATAAAGATCAAGATCAAGATTTTCAACATAATCTTCTTTTCTATGTTCAAGATAGTAATGGAAGGAAATAAAAATTTAAAATAAATAATTATTGATCTTGATTGCTGTAATAGTCTAGTTGAAAAGAATATTTCAGGATATAGATAGAATATTAGTCTTAGTCGAAAGAGTATTTTAGGATATAAATAGAATATTTTAAAGATATTTTATATTGGATTAATGTCCGATTGTTGACTAAGGTTATTGGAGTGACTATTAATATTAATATTTTCATGCACTCCAAAACTGATATGAACTTGTAAAGTAAAACAGGAAAACTGCAATAAAAATAATAAATTGAAAAATTTTCCAGTAAATCACCCTAATTATTTTGGGATTCACGAGACAAGTGGATAATAATAGCCTTCAGAATAGTAACACTTGCAACATCCACAAAGATCAGAGCTTCCACCACCAATTCTTTAGGACATGATAAGAAGGCCATGGCATAACCTTCAACACGACAATATGATGCCACAAATGATTTGTTATTGTTCAGGTGGGATCAAAGCCAGAGAGAACTTGATCATTGAAGATCTTAAGAATGCTAAGAATCCAACTTTGAGGATGACTCTCGCTGTGTTCGGCGATTGCTCATCAAAGCAGGCTCAAACTACTGCCAAGAGAAGGGAAGAGCTGTGGAGCCTTCACCACGTCTACAGAACACTTTCTGACGATGAATGCCAACACCATTAGCCTCTGAAACCATGATGGTCCTCGCACGATCATCCCCGCCGACACCTGAACATGAATATCCAGTCAGTGATACACCTTCGGTCGCCACGCGAGAGTACTGTGTCAGATCGCTGTACTGCATACTTGAAACAAGGGGCTGACCCATCACAATCCCATCAGCTGATCGCATCATATGGCATGGGTTAATGAGCGATGTCTGTGTCGTCGGCGATGACAGAAGAGAGTGAGCACGATCAGAATGGAATACTTGGGTTAGACCATCGGAGAGCATCTCGCTGCTGCTGATCCCGGACAGTCTGCTCGTTATAAGAGGTGTTATGTTGCTGAGACTGGTCTCGCTCTCTTGCAAGAAAGGGAACTGCTTTCTTTCTTCGCTGTAGCTGTGAGAAGAGTTGGCATTCGATGTCTTCCTATCAATGAGGACTGGGACTGTGGTATCTTCTTCTCTTCTGACAATTCGAGTCCAATTTGGCTCTGTTGTGACAGTTGTATGGACTTGAGGATATGCCGAGAATCTGATACCTGTACATGTAAAAAAGCATTATTAGGACAATTAACAGATCTGCTTCAGCAGGAGTATCTCTTTGCTGATGAGAGGGAACTTTTTAGAAAAGATTTTGACGACTTAATTTTGCAGGCAAGAAGGAATGTGGACTTGTCTAGAGTCAAGTGGTGGAAGCAGCTAAGGGTTTGGAAACATCATCTAATTGCATCTACATTCTACAGAAATAATTGAAAAACATCATTCAATTGCATATGGTTTTGAGTCATAAATAGCTAGTGAATTATGAGTTACCTCTTCCCAGTCCATGGCAATCCAAGTCGTCAAGAAAATTCAAGTAATATGGGACTGTTTGATGGCAAATGCATAAACAAATAATGCTAATTGTTATGGTGCAAGAGAATGTGACCAGCTCAACGGCTCGGGCAGCATTGCATGTGGTGCATGCCTTGCTAACTCGAGAAGGAAATTGCTCATCATGCAACATAATCATTGATCTTTGATTCTTTGATAAGAGAAACTCGACATAAGGGTTATTGGCAGTCGATTGTAGCATTCAAAAATTAACAGGCTACCAGCTGGGGTAAGAAAGAAGAAAACCTAGGGTTAAATTATAACAAACAAAATTTGAATTGAGTTGTGGGAGTCTCAAAAGCAAAAACTCAAGTTAATGAAAGATACCACGACTAGGTGATTAGCAAGCTACCTGAATTTAGAGAACTTGGCTGAGGTTTTCTTCGGCGTCTGTTGTGGCCTTCAAGACGCTTCCGACAGCTTCGCTTCGCCTCATCAAATTCTACAAGCATATGAAACCTGCAGGAAAAACATATTAAGGATAAGAAAATTTCTTTGCTAAAAGCAACAGAGATGCACACAAATCCAATCGGAAAACACAGAATGATACAAGAATATTACTCCTATATATCCAGCAAAGAGAATAACAAAAGACAACTAAGCCAATAACTAGAGCAAGAAAGATTGCAAAGGAATCAATGATTCTTTAAATAGCGTTGCTCCATTATTTCTGTAGTATGTACACTGGAGAAATGAAACAACAAAATTTTATCAACTTAGATACATAACTATACTCGTAAATCAGAGGAGAAATGAATTTTAATAAATGAAAAAAGGGTAAAACCATCATTGTAGGGTATTTGATGATGGGATTTTTGGACTTGGTAACCATATGGACTTGATTAAAGCTAATATCAAACTACTAACACCGAAAGGCAGCGGCTGTTTTAAAAGATTCAGAAATGCTCATTTACATTGTTGACGATAGTATAGGATCTAGGATCTTTGTTATGGAACTTCACTAACAGTTTGAGATGGGATTTGTTGCATTGGACAAGATAATTTTTCTTAGGAAAAATGGTCTTACAATCACAATTACAATTATAAATGTCCAGTGTTTATGGTTAAATTCAAGCTAGGTAATGGACCTTCATATAATGAAAAGATTGTTCCTTGACCTGAAAAAAATAATATTTTTTAATATAAAGATAAAGCTACATAAAATGATCCTCCCAAAGTAGTAAAATGTTATTCATATATTTGATTGTTCATAGCAAGGTTCTCAATTTCGATGTGTACCGCCTGATACGGGTGATATGTACCGGTCCGAACGGATACCGGTATGCAGACCGTCCTCTACCGGACAGTACTAGTGTTTTGATTGGTAATGAGGCGTATCGATCGGTATCGAGGCATATCGATCGGTACCGCCCTAGATTTCGATCGTTGCCGAGTCATACTGGTCGGTACGCCTTAGCGTGGTAGGCGGAGATATTTTAAGGTTTCAGGGTGTACCATTAGTACGCCTTGGCATACCAACGGTACATATTGGTATGTATCGTATTAAGCAGAGCTCGGTACATTGGTACAGACCAATATTCAAAATCCTGGTTCATAGCATAACTTTTAAAATTCAAGACTCAATGACTAAAAGTTTCTTGTTCTCATCTCCATTCTCCTTTGCCTCTTTTTTTGGAGGGAAATATCAAGAACAATCAAAGAAAAAAAGAGAAATGATAAATAACAATACTCTAGGGTGATATCAAAAACCAAGCGAACTATATATAAGGATATTCAACTAAAATTGGACAGTTGAAGAACAGAGACCGACAACAGCCTAGAATACTTATGCATAGACTACAAATAACTTTAGTGTGCAATACCTAATCTTCCATTCTGATTGATTCCCGGAAAAAAAGTTGGAGAAAATAACAAACCGTTGCATTTTACCATCTTCTACAAAATTCATTAGGATGGATACAGATGAAGGGTTTTTCTATATGCCATGAAACAGTTGCAGAAAACAACCAAACAAGATTGTAAGCATCCATATAGATCAGATGAGCCCGAAAGACTTGAATCATAACACTAAAGACCTAAGTGGCCTGTCCTATGTAAACCAAGACCCTGTAAGATCTCCTGCTGTTCCATTACCTGCTGCATTGCTGGCAGAACCTTTGCTCTCGCCCACCAACCGTAACCACCGGAGTCTTGGAGTGAGCCTCACAAACCTTGTGCCGGCGGTGATACTCCCTGCACTTGCTAAGATCTGCTTTGCATCCATCAACCAAGCACGAAGCTTTCTGGCTTGCATTGCTCATGGCTCGTTGTTTCTTCAGTGGACCAGATGAAGGTACCGACATCGAGGACACCCTCAATTGGTCCTTCCACTTGTATGATGATCCAGAATCACTCAGTCCCCCAAGCTTCAGATCGACAGAGCACTCTGGGCCACTCGCCAGGCGGTGCACAGCAGGACCCCCTGCCGTCCCGTTTATGATGGAACCGTCACGGTCCAATTCAGCCAAGCACCATGGAGGCATCTTCAAATCCCAGTCCATGAAAGCAACCTCTCTCTCTCTCTCTCTCTCTCTCTCTCTCTCTCTCTCTCTCTCTCTCTCTCTCTCTCTCTCTCTCTCTCTCTACCTATCCCCAACCACAATTACTCTGTGTGTCAAATCTTCCTTCTCCTCTCACCAATCCACATCATAAAAACCTAGACCTGTCTCCCTCCAAAGATCCCAGCATGGCCGACCCACGAAAAAGAAGCAAAAGGTAGCGAATTGAAAGTGCACGGATCAAGAAAACGAGATCGGAGTTCACACAGAAAGGAAGTTGACCGTCGACACCAATATCAAGAAACCAAATTTTCACAACAAAAGCTGAGGGTGCAAGAATCCAAAACAAAGCTGGCAAATCAAGAATTGATTTGGAAGCCGTGAAACCCCAAGGAAGAGAGAGGATGAGGAGCCTGCAGCAACGAAGACAACATAATGGGAAAGGAGGAAAGCAGGAGGTAGGTTGTGCAGGTTGAAGCACCCCTCGCTCACCTTACCAAACACCCAAAATGAGATCGGGCACAGACACCGGCCGGCAAAGAGAGGGAGGGTAAGACTAAAGCTCAACGATGGTGAGTAGTATTAAATGGGAGGTGGGTGGGGAGGAGCAGCTCAGAGACAGCAACCAAGCAAATCCACACAAAAGGGTCCCTTGTGGTGTGGTTTATAGGGTTTAGGTTTTGTGTGAGCCTCAAGGTTGCTTCTGCAATCTCTGACTAAAATAACACATGAGGGAGTGAGAGAGGGGTTAATTTTTTTTTTTTATGTTATGTCTATAATTATGAAAATAAAATATCTAGATCTATTTATCATAATATCATCTATTTTATCAAAAAAAATATATAAAAAAAATAATTTAAACATTTTAATTGATAATGATAGATGACATCGGTGATGATAGACGACGACATTGTCGAGAATCACGGGTGATTGTTGTGGATAAGAAGAACGACGATGAAAAGTAAGGGCCACTGTACATCTACGTCGATGTCGTGGTAGTTACCAAACGATCCTTTCATCATTCGTTCTACATCTATGTTAATATCGATATAGTTATCGTGCGATAAAAGAGTTATTTGATATCTACATCGATGATTTTTTCACTGCTTAATAATTATATCGACATTGATATAAATGTGAAATAATGTTGCTCGGTAAACTACGTCGACACTCGTACATATATCGAGATATCTTTTTTCACTCGCTAATTGTTGCGTTCCCTGTTTAATCAGTCGATACGTCTACCGTTCCTCTGTGCACCCATGTTTCAAAGTTACACCACCAAATTACCATCTGTTGCAAGGAAGGTTGGGAATTGGAAGGACAGGAGAGCTGCTTGTTTGTTGTTGAACTCATCCTCCTCCTCTTGTCCTCATCTGACGATGGATGTGTCACTCTTGAATCAGAATGGTCCTTCTGCACTGTCAATAAAGGCATCCATTAAATGGAGAGGGCCACTTATGGCCAAACAAGCTCGAACACAGTATTCAACTCTCCACCTGCCCTACTGGTTGTGATTCTTGGTTGAGATGTGAAAGCTCTTCTTCTTTGGACTGCATTGGCAGATGACTGTCTGCTTCCACCATTTAGTGTCTCAACAACTATGTCTGATCCATACTCATTTGAGCCAACCCATCAACAGATCAAGATTTCTGGTAGGTTTATCAATAGAAAGCTCCAATCACAAGTCAATTAGTTTGGACTTTTCTACTGGAGGAAATGGTTTTGGCTGTGATATGAACTATTCCCAGTGGTCTCAGAGAAACACACAGAATTGGAGCTGAATTCAAAGAGAGAGAGTAGGAGAGAGAAAACACATCTAGAATCCTTGCACTGGGATTTTCCAGGCTACAAGCTGAAGCAATTTGGAGTCTGGACCACTCTAAACTACATTATGAAGTAGATTAATCTAAGTGCTGAAGAATGAACATAATCCAAGTATTCTACTTGTTTAATTGTCCCCTTGATGTCTGGTTTTCATTAAAAAATGTTGCACTGATCAGGATAAGTTACAAATCATTGGAACAAACATAACAATGGAAGGTTTGTACATTACTCAAGGCATCAAAAGTGGAATCTCTATCTGGTCCAGTGCACATAGTGACCAATGATGTATAAGATGAAGTGAAAACTATTGTTGTGGTCCTCTGATCCTTTGTTTTAGGCCAATGAGAAGAAGTTTCCACCACCAAAATAGTGACAAGAAAGAGAGTTTAGTATCTGTGCATTCACTGGTTTCAGATCCTGCAAAGCATAATTCAACAGTCCAGTTTGTCTCCTGGTTTCAATCATATCAACCAAATCCTCTTAGGGATGAGAAAAACTTGTATGGATGTGACAGTAAATATTTTGCTTTTGGGTCAGATCAACATTCCTAATTAACAGTGATTTATCAGTGGTGGGCTTCACAAATGAGCTTACTTTTGTGATGTTCTTGAGATATATTATCACATTGATAGAAAAGTAGCCTAAAAAGATACATTGGAGTATCAATCTAATATCAATTTGGATAGATCAGTAATCATGAAATTATCGAAAAATAAATAAATAAATATATTGATCGATATATACCGATAGTAATAAAAGGTTTAAAAATTATATACATTTTTAACGAATACCAAATTTCCTTGCAACTAAGTATAATTTTTAGGTTACAATCTTTTAAGAAAGATTCTTAATTCTATGTTAACATCGTATTAATATTATATACACATTCATTGAAAACAAAATAAAAAATACAAATAATTATAACCCCCGAATTAAAGCAAGATAAAAGGATGTGAGATTCAAGCATTCTTCGAACATTTTTTTCTCATTCATGTTTTAAATATTTAATGATATTTTCTCTTCTTAACACGATAGTAATCGATCCGATGACATGTCATTTCGTAAAATCATAATCATATGAAATCAAAGTATTTCAAATCCAGAAATAATCTTCGTATATTAAAATATATATATAATCCTCAAGCAATTTTCAGAACAATAACTTTGATGATACTAAATTTTTTTGTTCCTTACAAAAAATTTCTTGCGCATTCCCAAACATAAATGCACTTCAAGATCGAGCCTTGGTTTCTTTAATACTGTTCCAGAATAGTCACCGGAAGACTAAATCATCGATAAGGTAGTGTCACCTCAAATCAAAGTTGACTATTGAAAGGGACTTGCTTGTCCAAAATCTTCCAAAGTCAACGAGCCAAGACAAAGAGGAATGGGTGGAGGCTGAGACTACCAAGCTAAGTTTCTCATCCATTCACACTCCCTTAAGAAGAAGCGTACGCAAACAATTTGACCGTGAGTTGGGTCGCATGTTTTTGGCGTTGTTCCTACTCCAAACGTTGACTTTGGTGTGCCCATGAAAACTAGCTTTCCAGGATTTCTAATTGTCTCTATGCAGCATCAGTCTAATAAATGGAAATTGACTAGCTTTTGTTGATCTTAAATAAACCGAACCGATTTATCTGAAATCATAATATTATTGTTCATAGTGATATGGATTTGTAGAGATATCGTATTGGTTGGAGTCTCTCATGTATGTTTTTTATTAATTAATGGGTTCGTCATGTCTTTATTATGTAAAATATATACATATGTTTAGGCAAACATGATCGTGAAAAATGTAAAAGCACGATGAATAAATCAAGTTTTTATAATAAAATATTTATCATCGTAAAACAGACATACAAGAAGGAAGCTCTTCAATGAATTATTACTAATATCTTCTTTCGAATTAACTATAGATTATCCTCTGTAATTAGTTATCTTTAATATCCTAATTATTATATTTTTAAAAATTACATTAAGATCCTTATATAAGATTAAAAAAATAATTTTATAATATTAAAAATAAAAAATAATATTATTAAAGTAATAAGATTAAATATTTCACTTTAGTAAGTATATGAATCTCAATTTAATCTTTGAAAATATAAATACTGAGATATTAAAAATAATTAATTACATGTGTAATATATAATTAACCTTTTCTTTGATGTTTTTGTGGGATAAAGAATCCGTCGTGAAGAAAACAATGTCAAGCTTAGGAAACTTTGGAAAGATCTACCAATGTAATATGGTTTAATGTTTTTTTAGTGTTCATAGACACACCAAAGTCAACAATTGGAATCGGAGGTTTTATTCCCTGTTTTGACTCATAAAGTCTAAACTTCTCGAAGAAAGACTTCCGTTCGAGGTGTCTCTATCAAACAGCATCCAGTGTAGCAGCTCATTCACGAAACATAAAAACTTGCACGTTTTGACAAGAATCGCTGTCTGCTGTTTTGTATCCCACGTCTGACGACCCAATGAGAACGCTTGATCCCGTGTTTGATGTCCCCATCATGTGATCAAAAGAGAGAGATGAGTCGTTTCGCAGCTGGCTTTCCAACGCCGCTGCGGAATCGCGCCGGTAATATTCCTTACGCGTCCCCTCGTCCTCTATATGGTGTGACGAGGAGGCCGCCTACAGTCTCGGGGGAGGGAACAGATGAGGTCGACCTCCGGCTCAGCAGTCGTGCTGCTTCTTCTGTTTCTGCTCTCCGTAGTCGGCTCCGCCGTGAGCGGTGTCGTGGGCCGGCACGACCTCGCGGGAGTGCAGCCGTTGTCGCGCGTCGCCATCCACAAGGCGCGCCTCGCGCTGGAAGACAAGGCCTCCGCGAAGGCCTCGCCGCTTCTCCTCGGCATCAAGGTAGTAGTTCTTCTCCTTGCATCATCGGCCACTTTAATACCTTTAGCTTTACTTTTAGCTTTCTAGAATTCTTCTTCTTCTTCTTCTTGAAAAGATCCGTCTTTTTTAGTTCTTTGGGGCTTTAGGTTATTCCTATATTTGCACAAGGAAAGGAATCGTCTCCCATCAATGCGAGATCTAGAAAATGGCAATGTCAGTGTAGTCTTTGGAAATAAAGCGTTAATGTTCGAAACTTTATGCATGTAGGTCAGAAAGTAGCAACTTGCACAACGACCCATTCTTCAAGTCAACTCCCTTTTCGCTCTTTTCCTGGTTCTTCCTTTCCCTGTTTCTTTTGTCTACAGGGTGAAGACACTGAATGGGTAACAGTGGAGATTGGAAGCCCCAAACCAACAGCAGATGATTGGATTGGAGTATTCTCTCCGGCCAAATTTAAGTAAGTCTCTTCGACCTTCTCTTTTGTATATGTACAAGATCAATACATTGTTGTTCTATATCTCAGTGCTTCAACGTGTGCTTCTGAGAACGACAAGGACGAGGTTCCATTGATATGCTCGGCGCCAATAAAGGTAATTGTTTTATTAGAGCATTGCATATTTCTGACAGTACAAGATCTTTTTGTGTTAATGCTTCTAGTGCTTTCAGTATCAATTTGCAAATTACTCAAATCCAGACTATGGTAGAACCGGGAAGGGATTCCTGAGGTTTCAGTTGATAAATCAGCGGGCTGACTTCTCCTTTGCATTGTTCAGTGGAGGTCTTGACAATGTAAGCTGCAGGGTAACGATTCTACCCGATTTCTCTGATGTATTGACTAATGTCAGTACTGGGTTGTGCAGCCAAGGTTGATTGCTGTATCGAATGCAATTTCTTTTGCAAATCCAAAGGCTCCTGTTTATCCGAGGCTTGCACAGGGGAAGTCATGGAATGAGGTAAAGTAATTCAAGTTTTCTGTGGCCTACTCTGTTCCAGATGCTGTGTGATTGTCAAAATACGATAGATTTTATCTCTTGCTCTGGCTTGACATTTTGTGATGAAATCATATTTGATATATTTACAGTAAATATTTTATAATACTTTGATTTATTCCACATTAAAAGTGAGAAAAGACATAGAATTATTATAGTTTGATGATCATTGTATTATTATAACTTGGACCTAGTTTTCAACCGATGGTTTATGTTGAACAAAGTTAATGAGCTAATTATGGGGTAGGTTGTAACTCTTGGTACCTGAGTTGATATAATATTAAGATACGACGAGAAGCTCGAGTAAGAAAGGACTATCTATGGATAGGGTCATGGTGCCACCATTGGATTATGCTTCTTACATATATTATATTAAGAGTTTGATTCTGGGCTATACTAGACTTGTCGAGGATGACAAACCCTAAGGAAAATTATAAGATCCTGATTTAGTCCAAGATTGGAAGGGTCTAAACACTTAGATCGAGAGGAAAATAATAACATTCTGATTTAGTTGAATTATTGCTCCAAATAAAATAAACATTAAAAACCAAATAGGAGGCAAGCAAGTCAAAACAAGAACATGCATGTATCATTTGGTGGAATGACCCACTTATAGTCAACATCTAAAAAAGTAATGCTAAACTTGATCTGTGTTCAATGAATTTTACAGTTCATAGCATTGAAATAAGGGATTTCTTGTGCAATTGATCAAGCTTGCACCATAGTTAGGACCTGAACTACTACTACTATTAGAACCATTCGAATTATCTCCAGATTAGAATATTACAAAACTTACAATGTTTTAATCAAGATATTTATCTTATAATTTGTCTGTGTTATACAAGCTAAGCGGGGGCAATTTCCTTTATACTGTAATTATTGTCTTTCATTTCACTCTTTCTTGTTGTATAAGTGAAAGAAATTATTAGAATTAGCTAATGATCAATCAAGCACCTGCCGTTGACCATTTTATTAATATTTACAATATTTTAATGTTATCTCAAGTTCATATCTAAATGCTAATTATATTAAGTATTTTGATAACCTCCAACAGTCCATGAATTGGAAACATCCAACAAATCATAGAGTATTTTTCATGTAAATTTTTGGTAGTGTTTGATTATTTTGCTCAGAGTCTTTTTTAGCAATCTTTTGATTTATGAATGCAAGTGTAGATTTTGTATTTGGGTGGAAGTAAAGTTGTTAATATGTTCAAGTAGATCTTTTTTTTTATAATCTTTTGAGGGATTGATATTTGTTTAAGTTTAGGGTCTTAAATGATAATTTGTTTTGCTTTGCATACAGATGACTATTACATGGACAAGTGGGTATGACATAAATGAAGCACTTCCTTTTGTAGAATGGGGATCAAAATGGGGACCTGCAACACGGTCCCCAGCTGGGACACTAACTTTCAATCGTGGAAGCATGTGCGGTATGATACTTTTCTTCATTATTTCAGCTAGAAGTTTGGTTAAACTTTAGCCTGCAAATCAGATATCTTTGCTTCAGTCCAATATCCAAAGGGCTTTCTCTTTACACTGCAATCTTGCACACATGCTACCCAAAAATGACATAGCCATGCGAAGTTGTCTATACACTTTCAGATAAAAGATTAATGTTTATACGAGTCCTTTTATAATTGCAAATAAGTAATATACATCAACTACAATCTGAAAATTATTCCACTTGTATTGGCATTGTGAAGGGAGACTGAAGAATGAGTCTATTCTCTATAGATTTCGCTTCTCTTCTGAGACCACTTTCTACAGAAACGAGGGAGGAACAAATGGAAATGATTGAAAATATCTGTTATCTCATGGATGGATTAGTGAACTTTAATTACTAGTGCAGGATAGGAATGCTGACCCTTATGGTTGTAATGTTGTGCAGTCGTAAACCTGTGGCATGACTGGTTTGGTAAATAACTGTAGGTTCACCAGCTCGCACATTTGGGTGGAGAGATCCTGGATTTATCCACACAAGTTACTTAAAGGAATTATGGCCAAATGCAGAGTACATCCCTAAAAACTTGTTCATTCTCTTATTTCAAAATTGGCATTTGTGGTTTGTTACTCTCCGTATCAACTATTATTCAGGTACACATACAAGCTTGGTCATCAGTTATTCAATGGATCCTACATTTGGAGCAAGTCCTATTCATTCCACGCATCTCCTTATCCAGGACAAAATTCCTTGCAACAAGTCATCATTTTTGGTGACATGGGAAAGGTTTCATTCTTTTTTGTCAAATCTTTTTTACATCACCTGAATCCTCTAAACTACAATTGTTATGGACTTCTATCACATGATCAGTAGCCAAATATAATTACTTGCTAATATATCAAGTTAATAAAAACATATCGTACCACTCATGTTGTTAATCTGACATTTAATCTTAAATTCTCCTACATGTATTACTTGTAAAATTATTTATATTCTTCAAGCAAGAAGATGAGAACTCAGGACTGATGCTTTCTTATCTTGTATTCAGGCAGAGCGTGATGGGTCCAATGAATACAACAACTACCAGCCTGGTTCATTGAATACCACAGATATGATCGTTAAGGACTTGGACAATATTGATATTGTCTTCCATATAGGGGATATTTCCTATGCTAATGGATATATATCACAGTGGGATCAATTTACTGCACAAGTGGAGCCAATTACTTCAAGAGTTCCCTACATGCTTGCGAGGTCTAGCAATGCTCTAAATGTGTTTACAATTATTAGTCCAGGAATGAATATTAAGTAATTGAAAATTCTTGTACTTAACATGGGTTGTTTGTTGTTTACTTTTAGTGGAAATCATGAACGAGATTGGCCGAACACTGGATCATTTTACGAGACAACGGACTCTGGAGGGGAATGTGGGGTACTAGCAGAAACCATGTTCTATATACCTGCTGAGAACAGTGCTAAATATTGGTAAGAAAAAGCCCTCTCTCTATCTGAACTACCATATAGCTCTTGGAATCAAGTAGTTTACAGTTTCAGCTACTAATATTTTCGAATCATACAGTAAATTTTGTGACGCTTACCTGTAACAAACACGAATGTCTTACATATATATGTAGCATAAATCGGTGTGCTCTGATCTTTTCTTGATATGAGAATTCCTCAAACATGCCAGCTTAGTAAATCTTTAATTATATGTGAGATTTGTAGTTGTTTCTAGGAAGGGAATCATGAAGTAGTTACCTTTTCAGGTGAAAACATAAACTGTTCTTCTTTAACTAAAAAGCTTTTCCAAATGTCAAAGTTCTGAAGTTTGCTGATGATTTCACATACTAAACTAAGATATGAATGATCTTTCTAATCATTTTTCTCAAGAGTATTATGATGTCTCATGATTACTTGATCAAATATGCATTAGTTGACTATCCAGTTCCACTTGTGTGAAATTTGTTGAATGTCACTTTCAGGTACTCTACCGACTTTGGTATGTTTCATTTCTGCATAGCAGACACTGAGCATGACTGGAGAGAAGGTTCTGAACAGTACAAGTTTATTGAACATTGCCTGGCATCAGCCGACAGGAAAAAACAACCATGGTTGATATTTGCTGCCCATCGTGTTCTTGGTTATTCATCTGGCATGTCATATGCAGCTGAGGGATCATTTGAAGAGCCCATGGGAAGGGAGAGCCTTCAAAAGCTCTGGCAAAAGTATAGGGTGGATATAGCCTTGTTTGGTCATGTTCATAACTATGAGAGAACCTGCCCAATTTATCAGGTTAGAACACTTATTTTTCGTTGTTTCTGATTTTTATGATCCGTTAGGGTACTTTCCTACATTATATAGTTCAATAATATGTGCTTAATGTTCTGGAGACTAGCATCACTTCATTATTATTTCCACATGAGAGTCAAAACTAGTAAAACATGTTATTGGATATAAGTAATTTGGCTAAAACTCCTTGCTTTTGCATAGTTTCATCTATAAATTTATGAAATTTATAAGTTGAAGCACTTAAATCTATTAAAAAGACATCCTTGATACAATCAATTGGCATCAATATGGTCCTAAGAAATCTCTTACCTAATGAATTATTTTTGTGTTGCTCCATTTCTTTTAGTTGTTTGAACCTTTTTCGTAAAATACATGTGCAAGCTACATCACATTTTTTTCTGAACAATCATTTTTGACATCTTAAACTCTTCTTGATAGAACCAATGTGTTAACAATGAAAAGCTTCATTACTCGGGCACGATGAATGGGACAATCCATGTTGTGGTTGGTGGTGGCGGCAGCCATCTGTCGAACTTCTCAGGCACTGTGCCAAAATGGAGCATTTTCAGAGACTTGGCTTTTGGTTTTGTTAAACTCACTGCTTTCAACCATTCTTCTCTGCTTTTCGAATACAAGAGGAGTAGTGATGGGAAAGTATATGACTCGTTTACCATATCGAGGGATTACAGGGATGTGTTGGCATGTGTTCATGATAGTTGCCCCCCAACAACATTGGCTACTTAGTCAACAATCCTAAGAAGACCAATCTTAAGTGTTTCCCTCTTGAGATTAAGCATACAATTCAGTGTGAACTAAGATGAATCTTCTTCAGGGTCTTTGTTCATTATGTTAAATAAAAAAGGATGAGGTAGTTTGATCCCTGTTGTTTGTATCCTACATTTCCTTTTTCTTTTTGTTGATTCTTACATTTAAGAAGATGGCTTTAATGTTTTCTATCACATAAGTTTGTGAAGTAAACTTCATTCTTATTTGGTAATTTGTGTACTAAACCTTCAAATAGGATTCCAAGGAAAAAGATGCATTGTTCTTTCTAAGAGAGACTGGAATCAACCCTGCTGCGTTCATAATGATCTGTGCCATTTTGTTTCTCCTTCATCTTATACTAACACCATAATTAACATCAAAGACAGAACCTATTTGGAAGTCAGTAAGTAGTTGGATTTAGGATATGAATTACAGATGATGTTGAATGAAGATGAAGAAAACCATGCAATCAATTCACAAGGAATACAAGTAAAAGGAAAAAAAAGGAAGACTTTTGTTCTTGCCCTGCATGCATGCATGGAGGTCTCTTAAGAAAGAGGAAGCGAGCTAGCCTAAGTAGACGTGGACGCCGACCGCCAGCATGAAGACGGCGGCAAGGGCCAAGAAGAGAACGGAATGGATGAAGATGACGACGCTGCTCGTCTGCAGCGTGCCGAACTCCACCACCTTCCCCTTGCTCGGGATCTGGAACAGGAGCCCCGGTGAGAGCAGCACGAAGAGCACCACCGCCACGAACACCGGCCCCCAGTCCGCCATCCCTCGCTCTTCTCTACCCCTCCTTCAGACCACTGCAGCTGATACAACTACTCTTGTGATTCTTTGCTATATGAAGTCGTAAAACGGAGAAGGTGAAGGAATCAAAGTAATGAACGTGCAAGAGGCCAACTTGCAACTTGACCTCTGCAGCAGTAGTCAACGCCTCAGCTGCGATGGAAAGACGAAGGGAAGACGACAAGAGTGGTTTTGGCTTTCGAAGCTTCTCACATGTGTCCACGCAAGTAAAGAACCAACCTGCAACTTGACGTCGTTCTCGTCAACGCCTCTGCTGCGATGGAAAGAGGAAGGGAAGACGACAAGAGTGGTTGTGGCTTTCGAAGCTTCTCACATGTGTCCACGCAAGCAAAGAATAGATCTGCCGCCATCTGCCTCTTCTTCTTCCTCGTTGTCTTTTTCCATGTGAGATTATGATTTAGAGAAGATTCCGTATTGCATTAGAGACTGATGCATTACTGATAACATTTGCTTGTCATTACTGATCTGTATATTATTTTAATTCAGATATCAGTTCAATAAATCATTATTAATCTTTTTATATTATTTTTTTTAAAAAATAATAATTATTTAATCATATTTTAAAGATGATATAATCATGAGTTCGAATCTTATATATTTTAGTGTTTAATTAAAATTATTTTTACATGACCCATTCAAGTCAAGTCTATCCATATTAAATTATTTAAAAAAAAATAAAGAAAAATAAATACCCTATCAACATTGCATGTACTTTAGGATTTTATATGTGTGCTAAAAAAAATTAAAGGAATTAATCGATTTACAAGATGCATGCTTTGGCATTGCTTAGAATTACAAATTATCTTATATAATTAGTTAACTTTAATATTTTGGTCTTTATATATTTACAAATTATATGAAATATGGAGATATTTGTTAAAGCAATAAAGTTAAATATTTTACTTTTATAAATATATAGATTTCAAGATAATCTTTGAAATTATAAAGATCGAAATACGAAAAATAACTAATTATAAGAGATAATATGTAAACACATCTCTTTCGACCTTACTTATCACATTACTTCTAAATGAATCCTAGAAGACAAAATACTTTGCTTTCAGAAAGTTGAAATCCTATGTTAACTGGCAACATGAAGCCATGGATCCATAGGCAAGACTTTTGTTTGTGCTAATATATCTCCACTATTTGTAGCTTTCATGCATCATCAGAAAGATTCAAAATAAGAGCCTGAAAAGAGGAGGATGTTTTGTTAGAATATTTAAATGTTATGTTCCTGTGAGGAATCTTGACAGGATTTGTTCCAATGAAAGCTTATAGGCATCTAAAAAGTCTTTGGAGAAGATAAAGCAAAGGGCCAATAAAGCTCAAAATCATCACTAAGCAGGGTGGAGTGTGACTTGGAGTAGACTCAGGAATGAGTGAGACACCATTAACCACATGCTCAACTTCTACGCTCTGCAACTACTCCACTACATGCTCTTAAAGTTTTGGAATTCCTCATCCATGATGGTGGAATCTTTTCATTAAAATGAATGAGTTTACAGATGTGAACAGGTAATATAAGAAACCAATCCATGTCACTTTAAAGAGCTTTGTGTGGAGGAACAATGAAGTACAAGATGTTCATCCTTGAGAGGTTTAAGGTTTTACCTATTGCTATCACTTTATCTTCTTCTTCTTCCATTGCCAAGAAACAAGAAGGTTCCAATTAGATCATTGCCCCATTTAACAGATCGATTAATCTAACACAAGGTGTAATTTTTCTTGGCAAATCTGGACTACTGTGCTTATCTTCTTTTGATGAAGCTGGCATCGCTTGCATCACAAAGGTTGCTGCATGTCTTATCACCATGGTATTTGTATTCTCATAAAGAAGAACTGTCAAGCAGGATGTGGTGGAAACAACTTCACCATAGCTTTCTGAAAAGAACTCCACCCACATAATTAAAAGGGGATTTTGCAAGTCTATCATGTCAGAGTTTGGAAACAACAAAAATTTAGATCACATGTATTCTATTAAATATTTAAAATCCACCACTTTGTGAGTCTAATAAAGTTGACTAACTTTGTTTGGATAAATAGAAAATTCACTAACTTTTGAAGGATATATGGATACAATTTTTCCTAATTAAAAATTACATACAAGTGGACAAAGCAGTTCAGTACTTTTTTTCTCCCTACATAAGCCTCTTGTGACATGCTACAATCCTTCCTATAATCCTCTCTCCTACCTCACATCAACTTTGCTCAACACCCAAATCAATTTCAAGCTACCAAATCTAGTTTTACAGGAGCATCATATCTGGATACTATGGACCCTATCAATATAGGGAAGTTTCAAGCCATGAAGCGTAATAGAAGGAGACAAGCCCTCCCAAGCCTCATGATCTCATTTACGGTGACAGCATTCCTTCTCGGCTTGTTCCTCTCAACCCTCATCTGGCCTCCTCTGTGTTCCTCTATCAAGCTCTTGCTGTTTGTCTCTCTCCCCAACATGGCAGCACCGCTGTTGAAGCCGGAATACCTCTTCATCGTGTGCAACCTCATTGTCGTCTTCCTCGTGGTGGAGTCGAAGCTCTTGGGGTCTTCTTCGCCACCAGATATCTATGAAGAGTACATGAACGGAAACACGAGCCTTCCACGGCGATCGAGGAGCAAAGGCCACAGGGGAAGTTCTTTGGAGCAGGCTTTGGTTGAAGAAGAGGAAGAGAAAAGAGGCCGTGGATGGGAGGAGACAGCGATTAGATGGGAAAACTGGGATGATGAAGAAGAAGAAAAGTGCTTACTTGATGAGCTAAACAAGAGATCAGAAGATTTGATTGCAAGGGTCACTGAGCAGTGGAGGTTTGAAGCAAGAATGCTATTTGGTCATCAATGAGATATAATATATATATATAATATTTCAGGTCCAACTTTGTTATTGTGACAAGATTGATGATGCCTAATATGAACAAATCATGATTCCTAGTATATCCATTCCTTGCATGCAATCATCCAAAATCATCAATCATCAGTGATGATGTTGTTGAGGTGAGTTGAGGGGGCAAAAAATTGATGATGTTGCTGCGCGCAAGCTGTCATCAAGAACTCATGCTCATAGACGGGAAGTCCAATGAGGTATTCCCAATACGTTTCTCAGAGTCATATCGGCAAACAGCTTGCGCGCAAGTCCCGTCCGACCAAGAAGAATAGCAAATTTTGCCGAATCCTGATGGAAAAGCGGCAACGGAGGAGGGGTCGCAAGGAAAAGAAGGAAAGAGAATCAGATCATTCACCTTCGGATTCCGATGATCGGGAGGAATTAGTCCAAGGATTTCGATGTCGAATCGGAGGACTGCGGTGATGGCGGCTACAAGAACTCGTCGCATGTCCCAGTGACGAGCCTATTAATACTCCCTAACTCTTCTCCAACGTCCAGGATCGACCAACGAGAGTCCGCCACGTCACCATGAATAGATCTGGTCGGGTACGGACCGTCGTAGATAAAATTGTCAACGACATTATAAAGGGAGGTTTAAACGGCTCGGCCCCGTAGCAGACGCCTTTGTTTCCCTTTTGCCCCTTCCCCTGTTTCCTGATTTGGATCATGAAGTCTCCAAATAGGAGCCGGAGTCGGAAATCCTCTCATGGTTTTCCGAATCGAATTAGGAATAGGAATAGGGATCCGAGTAGGGGCAGGAAATCTTCACATTGTTCTCTTCTATTTTTAGCGCTCTCCTCCTCCTCTTCCTCCCCCTTCGGATCCAAAGGTGTTTCTTTTCGTTTGTGTTCCTTCGAGGTTGTTGCTCGGATGGGAAGTCTTCAGGCAGCGGAGATGAATGAGGATGAGTACACGAAGCTCATCCGGATGATGAACTCCGCAAGGTACAATCTTTTTGCTCCGTCTCCTCTTTCCTTTTCCTCTATTCGTCGTGGTCTTTCATTCGTTCTGGTTTCTTGTTCGTGGAGTCGTGGATTTCCTTTTTGTTCTCGCCTCAAAGAAGATGGTCATCACATGTTTTTTGAACTATTCAATATATTTTGAGTACTTTTTTTCCCTTCCATCAAAGATTTCCTCTGTCCGGATCTTTTCATCTCTCTTCTCCGCATTGCCATGTAATCTTTGGATAGAGTTATTTCTTGTGATCTTCTCCGCATTCATAATTGTGTCTGAAGGTCTTTAATTTTAATCTGTATGCAAGCAATGTAGGTGCTTAGAATAAGTTGTATCTTTTGTTTTCCTTTTCAGGGTTTGCAGCTTTTCTTTTCTCTGTTCCTGTGATCTTCCAGAAATCCTCCTTGTTCCGTTTCCTTCTCGTTTCATCATTGAATATTTTGTCTAAGCCAAACATCCTTTCTTGATTTCTTTTCTTCCAAACGCAGGGTTGTCATCGACAATGATGCCTGTGAGGATAGTACAGTAGTTCAGGTAAAATTGATTTCTTGTACTTTTAGCTTCTATTTTCACACAGCTTGACTTGAATTGTGCCACTAAAAACTCAAACTTCATGAATGTTGTCATAGGTGGACTGTGTCAAGGAACATATGCTACTCCTGCAACTTGTTCAAGTCCTTAGCGATCTGAATCTTGTCATCAAGAAGGCCTACATAACTTCTGATGGAAACTGGTTCATGGATGGTGAGTTCTTCCACAATTCCTTCTTATATTTTAGAACAGCTGATTACTCGAACAGTGTTTTATCTTTCGTATGTTTGTCAACTTTCTCATCTTCGATTTCAGTCTTCAAGGTTACCGATCGTGAGGGGAAGAAGCTCAGAGACCAGAAGATCCTCGACTATCTAAAGACAGTAAGCATTTTATTCATTTGGCCTTGCATGATGTTCTTGGAAGAATGGGGAGATATTTCAATCTTTGTTTCAGTAATCCTTCTGTTTGCTTACATTGATCTCTACAAACATGCAGTCCCTGGAATCGACTGCATGCTCCTTGACATCATTCCGGAGTACAGTTGGCATCCTTCCTTCCAAGGATTACACCTTGCTGGAGCTAACAGGCACCGACAGACCTGGTCTACTCTCAGAAGTATGTGCTGTTCTCAACGACCTCAACTGCAATGTGGTCAAAGCTGAAGTCTGGACTCACAACACTCGAACTGCTGCTGTCGTCCAAGTCACGGACAAGTCCACCCATGGCGCCATCGACGACCCAAATCACCTCTCCAAAATCAAGGCGCTTCTGTTCAATGTTCTCAAAGGGGACAGCGATTCGAGTACTGCAAAGATGACTGTCTCAGTTGGGCTCACCCACGCAGAGCGAAGGCTACATCAGCTGATGTTAGATGACCGGGATTACGAGCATTCTGTGGTGGCAGAAAAGCTCAAGAAGAAGTCAAGCACTCAAGTTACTGTATTGAATTGCTCCGATAGAGATTACACAGTGGTCACCGTGCGGTCTAAGGATCGGCCGAAGCTTCTTTTCGATACTCTTTGTGCTCTCACTGACATGCAGTATTCAGTGTATCACGGCACAGTTGATGCAGGAAATAGTGAAGCCTATCAGGTATTATTACTTGACTGCCTCTTGATAGTTCTCACCGGAAGCTATTTAGGCTCTGCTGAAACCTACATTGTCACACAGGAACACTACATCAGGCCCAGCGACGGCCATCCGGTGAGCTCAGAAGCTGAACGACGGCGAATCATACAGCATCTCGAGGCAGCTATCGAGAGAAGAGCATATGAGGTACAAATACTTTGCCATGTACAAGTTAATGCACGTCTCTGGAGTCCATAATTCTCTAAGCTTGGTTGCAACTCGTGACCGCAGGGACTAGAACTGGAGTTGCATGCTGAGGACAGGATCGGTCTTCTCTCTGATATCACTCGCATAATTCGAGAATGTGGCTTATCCATCAGAAGGGCTGAGATCACAACAGAGGGTGGCAAAGCAATGGACACTTTCTACGTGTCAGAGATGTCAGGCAATCTCATTGATGCCAAGGCCGTGGATTCACTTAGAAGAATGATCGGGCATGCAGCTCTCAAAGTGAAGCAGAGTCCTGCTCTATCCCCTAAACCTCCTGAGAAGGCCAATGCCACTACGTTTCTCGATGGTCTCCTTAAAGCATGGTGGTTTCAGGGATTCGTCACTTCCTACTTCCTAAACTTCAGATAGAGCTGTAGTCCTGTAAATTCTTGTAGTCTATGTGAAGAGAAGGAACTGTCATCCAACCTAGTGCAGATATACTGATGATGGTTTTGAGCTCTTGTAATCAGGCACTTGTAGATGGTTGTACAGAATGTGTGCATGCTATAATCCATGGAAACAGCATCGTGTAATCTGCACACAAAATCTAGTTGTGTACTAGATGAATGAAATATATGCTTCACTTTTCATCATTATAGGATTGTCTATTGTGCAGATAACCCACAATCATCATATCAGAATCATAACACACAAAATCTAGTTCTTTCTCTGGGTCTTGATTGCTTTGGCGAAGCTGAGAGTTATCAGGCAGAACGAAGGAAACAAAATTACCCACAATCATCATATCATAATCTCTGGTATCCGATCAACCTGCAATGGTGACAACATATACATCAGTGTTATGGAAGGAAAAGTTTGGGTATCACTTCCCTTCTCTTCTGTCGTTTTCACTTTTGCTGGTTGGAGTTAGGATTCTCATTGGCTTGCATTACTTCCAGAGTCAACTTTGTCACTTTCATCATCTTAATCGTGACAGATATGCCGTGGATTCATGCAATTATGTCAACGCATGAGATATGCCAAACCATTCGATATCAAATCGATGTTATTTGGTATGGATGTTGACAAAGCCACCAGTTTAAGATTTTGAACACCTACATTGTACGTTTGTGATGGCATAGGGAAATGCACAAATTGCAGCCTCTATGCTAAAGACAAATCAAACACCATTATTCTCTTGTTCATAGCCCCTAATTAATTGCGTGACAAATTTGACTAGCATATTAATGGCTCATGTAGCATAAAGAACATACAGTAAATGCGTTTTATGCTAGGATACCTAATTCACCATATTATATATAAATATCCAATTAGATTCACATATATCATTGGTATCAAAATGGTAGTATAAATTTGGCATAAACTCATGCCCAAAATACAAAAACTATTTTACCAGACTTAATTGGACTCAAGTAAACACTATTCTTCCATCCATTGACATGTACTATGATCCAAAAGAAAAAGGATGAGCGAGAAAAGAGAGGCTGATTGATGAAGCGGCGGGACAACTCATTAGGCCAACAGGCCCAACCATGTGCTGGTGTAGCGTGGGCCCGCCCCGGCCGTGTGATCCTTTTTTGTACGCATCTTTACTTATACGCGGCACGTCACATCCTCAGACTGCAACGTCGAAGGTGCGGTCACATGACAGCAGCAGCCAAACCGTACACGCAAATTCTTACGACCTACTTTTACGCGCTCTATTTTATAATATATACTGAAGTATAAAAAATACTGACGCTCCACGCTCCAGAAATTGACACGTAGCTCGGATCGGAAACCACCACTAGCAACGCCGTTTGTACCCGTTTCTGCTAGCTACCCACGAGCACACCTATTCGTGTGAGGACGAGACGGGGTGGCCCCACTGGGACCCTCTTATTTGAGATACGCTAAGGCACGCTACGGCCTGACGAGAGCATGGACGGACGAGATGAAACAACGGACGGAAGGCAACGGTGGACATTAATCACTTGTGCCGCTCGATGCGTAGCGGAACGAGTGGTGGTAGAGTCGACGCGTGGTCCGAAAGACAGAGGACGTCCCCTCCAAAGCACACAGTCTCTCTCATGCTATAAATAGCAAAGGGGGAGGCTTTTGCTTCTTGATCTCTGTCTTCTTCGTTGTGCTTTAGAAGAGGTGGAGTGCTTCGTTTCTTCTCCTCTAGGGTTAGGTTTCTCGGTGGCCCGGGGCGGGGCGGGATCGCGATGGGGAGGGGGAGGGTGGAGCTACGGAGGATCGAGAACAAGATCAACCGGCAGGTCACGTTCGCGAAGCGGAGGAACGGCCTGCTGAAGAAGGCCTACGAGCTCTCCGTGCTCTGCGATGCCGAGGTTGCCGTCATCGTCTTCTCCAGCCGCGGCAAGCTCTATGAGTTCTGCAGCGGTTCCAGGTAGTATCAATTCCTCCTCCTTTGTTCTTCTCTATCTCCCAACGATATTACAGATGTGTTCTTGTTGCTCTTCATGTAGAGAGATTTGCTTCAAGCAGATCAGATCGGCCACAGGATTAGCTGCCGAACTAAGAAGGAAAACTGTTCCTTTGCTTGCTTGCTTCTATATATTTCCTTATTTAGTAAAAAGTTGGATATCATGATGCTTTAGGGGCTGTCTCTCTTTGTTATTTATAGTTTTCTTTTGATCTTTCGTACCAATTTGTTTACTGATAGTGAGAAAAACTCAGATCTAACATGCAGGAAGAGGTTAAGACTATTATGGCATATTTAAAAGTTTAAAAATGGTTTCTTTGATTCAGATCAAGGAGTAGGGTTTAGAGTTTGTTCATGTTTCCACTACTTCATTGGCTTTTCTCTTACCTTATGTATCTGATCTTTGACTCCTAATTCGTATACAGTTCTCTGAATAACTGCTTGTTATGAATTTATTATGCAACATTTCACCATCTTAAAAAGGAAAAAAGAATGATCAATAGAAGTCTTCTATTAACTGAACTGCACAAAAAATTGGCAATAAGATATCTTTATATAGCCTTTACCATCTACCTAATTGTTAAACTGAGGCTCCTCTCAGATCCTTAGTCGAATCTCCTATACTTCTCTCATTTTGGTCTTTAGATTGCTATGTTCTCATCTTTCTTTTTGATCTGCCATTTGCATGGTTGAACCAAATCCTGAGTTGAAATCATTTAAGGTTGAACTCTGGAATTTAGAATGTTATCTACTCAGAATATATGTTACACTACTATTTCTAAACTTTTTTCTCTCTCTTTTTTCTCTTGTTGAACACTGCGAGTCCTACGTATGTGCAGTTGTCTTATATCTGTGGATGTTCTTCAACACTTCTTAAGATGCTTGCATCGGTTGCATATTCTTTTCAATATATACCATTAATGATTCATCAAACTCCTCACTTTTCCTTCCTGAGAGCTTTTCCTTTAATTTTTTTGTTCTAAGGCTTTCCAGTCATCACAGTTAAATTATATCTGATCATTGGAACACTATTACCCGTTTGTTTGAACTCAGAAGCTAACAAGTAAAGTGATATCCCCTTCCTTCATTCTGCTTTGCCTTCTACATGGAGAATCATGCATCAGGAATTAAGTAGGAGTTGATGTCGTCGGCACATTGGTCAATAGATTGCCTCGTGCCATTTGTAAGCTGTGATTTCTTGTTTCCTTTGGATAATGAGAGTACATAGAATCTCGTTCCTTTCTGATGGATGACGAAAGCATTCATCAACTTACTTTCTGTCCTCAGTGGCTCAAATGTTCTTCCGATGTGCACCATTTTAATCATATCTCCTGCAACTTCTTCCGATGTACTCCCTCATTTAGTATCACTTGCTGAAGCGATTACACTTAGTCCTCCCCTTTGAAGAATGCTCTGTAACATAGTACTAGTACCGGGTTAGGCTATATAAAATCCCCTTGTCATATCCTAGGTGGCTGATGCAGGCATAAGGGAATTAACACACAGAAAATATATGTTTGTTGAACTTCTGGAGGAGCCTTGGATGATAAGCACCAAGACATGCAGAAAGTTATTACTTAATTGTTATTTAATCTCATCAATAATAAAGGAATTCATGGGGAAGTCTTCTAATATGGCAAGTGCAAGAAAATATATAATACGCATATGACCTTTCAAGGCTATACCATGCACATCATGTTTATATAATACAGATACAAACGTAGTTGCTCTAAAGCATAATGATCAAGTTAAAATTCAAAGAGTAAAGCACACATTGGGTTCAGATGATAATGTAATTTGATAATAAGAAGGCTCTAAATATTTTGGAACAAGCCAAAGCATGAGAGAGCAGGAGTGTGCCATTATGTAGAATTATTTGGTATGTGAACCCAAGTTTTAAGGAAATTATGCAAAGAAGAAGAGAATATAGTACCTTCTGTATTGTTGGCAGACTAACAATTGAGATGTGTAGTATCAGGCAAAAAGTATGTAACAAAACGGATGGTTAGAAGATGTTAAAGTCACTTTCTAAGTTCATCTAGGTAAGCCAATGTGTGGAAAATGTAGGATTGAATACAGGACAACAATCCAATTATGAAGCATATTACCACCTAACATGAATAAATTGTGAAGATTTAGCAGCTAAAATAAAATAGATTATATTCCATCCAAATTTTTTTCTACAATAGAAGAGAAAAATTTTAGGAAAAATGTTCCAAATTTAGTGATAGTAAAACAGTGGTTATACTGTTATAGTTGAATAGAAGAGATTATGTAACTAACTGTTTGGCTTCTCATCATTAGACATTGGAAGTTTTGTTGGGAATAAAGAGAAATAGACTGCGAGGATAATCTTATATCATTAAGGATTGAAAGAGTCAAGTTATATATACTAGATTTGACCTATAATCTATAATTTTAAATAAGTTTTAGATTGAATTGATGTATGACCTGATATATATTAACCTTGATCAGATTGATTCAGATTCGTCATCCTAAATTTCTGACAAGTTTTACATATCAAAGAACTGATGAAAAGCTAACAGCTACCAGTGAGAGATTAGTTTGTCAAAGAAGCAACTTGAACAATTCTTTAGGATGAATTGCCTATAGATAGTAACTATTTTGTTTTTCTAAGAAGCTATTCCTTACGCACAAAATGAAAAATCTAAAACTCCAGTGGCTTTACTAGGAAAACGAGAAGGCAAAGACGAAGTATAAACAAATAAGAATCATGATTAAAGATTATGGAGACATGAACTCTATAGCTTGGTGTAAAAAACGACCTGTGCTAAGGTGTTCTTTTTATGATTTATTAATTGATAATTTGACTCAAAATTAGACATGCGCTTTCATAAGATTGTGAAAGAGACAGTTGCTAACTTCCATTTTTATATGTAGCTGTATCACTTAAAAATCCTGAAATTTTACATATGCACGTGCCCCACTGATGCTAAGACATTTAATCATATTTTTTGTAATGATAAGTATGAGTCTCTAGTTCCATACATATACACATTGGCATAAAGATTTTATAATGTTTAGTATACAAAATAAAAAGGTCCCAGTTACTGTAAGCAACATCTTAAGAATGGATAATTCTTTACATTGATATTTTAATAATTTGGAAACGAATACCTATGAAATTCATGTCAATAGACAAAAGCATAGATAGGCA